CATCAGCAGGCGGACAGCCATAATTGTCCGCCTGATGTTGATAGTTGTACTCAAATTGCAAATGTTGTAGGTTTACTCTCCAACACAACGGTGTGCTGAACTAGTAACGAATTTGCATATTTTGTTTACGTGACAAACCTTACTAATTGGCTGTGTCGGGTGGTGGTGGGTTTAACGACCCATTTATATTTACGAAATATAATCCAAAAACCTCTTATGGATAATATTGGTCACGAAAGCCTACGTTTTAAACTAAGATATCACGTAGATAGGTTGAAAGAAAATTACAAAAAACTACGACGTTTCGATCACAACACAAGCGATTGTCATCAGGAGGAAATAAGAGGATAATTGCTGGGGCAGACTGATTTAAAGGTTTAAAAAGTGGGGGGTGGGGCTAGTGATGTTAATGTGAGAAATTAGCATGTTAATGTAGGATCGGAGGGCGACCTCCACGACGAGGGTGCGGAGGTGGCTATGTTAATGTAAGCCCCGCCCACTTTGTTTATGATCCTTGGACAGACTCCCATTTATACCCCTGTTTCTATGAGCCAAAGAACTCGAGTACAAACTTGAGTTCCCACTCCTCCACTTCACACAGCTGGTTTCAATGCTTTTAGACAACTTGAGTTTAGCTGGAAATGTGGGCAGGAGCCCAAATTCTTCTGGCTGATTTCGCTCCTCACGCTGACTTGAATTCTGCATAAGAATTTGGTCCAAAAAACATACATTTGTGGGAAAGACCTGCCCAACTCACGTGATTACTTGAGTAACTTTGAAAATTAGACTTTTTTTTACTGACTCACATGATCAATCAATGACTCAAGTGCTTTATTAAGTCGAGTTCTGGGAGAAATTAGGAAAAAAAACCAAATGTCTTTCCATGGAAATTTGTTTTTTCTGTTATGTGTTTTGTAATCTTTTCCTTAACAAGGTTGTAAGGTCAGTTCAGAATTCGAATTTACCCAATTTAGACCAATTTGGAAGATCAGCCAACCTTACACAGAATCGATTTACACCATAATATTAATATTGGATTACAGTATATCAAAAACAAAAAATATTCATTTAAATACATCCAAAGGTTAATAATAGTGCATTGAAAATTATGCATTCGTGTTAGCTTTTGCTGAATAGCAAATTCCCAACTAAAGCTTTTTGTATTGCTTTCAGGATACTGTTCCTTTGTGTCTCCAGTGATCAATGGAACAGTGGTACAGTAGAATAATAAGCATACTTTATGGGCACGAGATTTAATTACATAATTGCATGTGAGAAATCTTTTAGCAAACAAAAAGTGTGGGAAGCATGCAAAAATCTGCTTTTGCTGCATGAATTGACTCGATTTATCATTTTTTTTCAATTATGTTTTGCATTCATGGATTGTGGTAACAACACAAGCCTGGAGGAAAAGGATGGTCACGACAAGACAAAAGTACGGCAGGTGGGATCGTAAAACCTTTCATGTTGACATCTGATTTCTATCCCTTTGTGTGATTCGTGGATATTCCCTATCAACTCTGGTTTATTACCCTCTTCCAATTAATTATCATTCAGGAATTGCACAATATTCCAATTCATGACCCTCCTGAAACATGATCTTGAGACTTGGCGAGGTGTTTTTGGATAAAGATGAAAATTAGCATTGCTATTATTACCATTATGACATAGAATGTGTTGTTAATTATGCATGTGCACCACTGCCGACGCAGAATCACAAAATCATGTTTTATCTAAACCTGCACCCCGAGTAAATATCATTTTCAAATTACAATGTATTTTACCTCAAACATGGGTTGAACACTCGAAAAGTATTTATTTTTGGAATGAAGAAAAAGCCTTAAAGAAAATGTTCTTCGTTGCACATCGAAAGTGAGGAAATCACTTCTGGGTTATGCTTAAAAAAAACCACATTCATTGTACGTGAGGTGAAATTTCAGAAGACGTCAATCTTTCTGTTTCCAACAACCCTCAAACCCCAGAGTTTTATGGTTCTGTTCAAGCCCTTTCTGCCCATAAAATGTTAATAATTCTGAAACGTACAAACAAAAATGTGTTATGTAGGTGTAGCGTATTTGCCAATTGTGAATTCAATGTTAACTTTTCATAGGTTAGCATGCTGGTGTTATTTAATGCACATTGTTTTCTATAATATTAAACCATGATTGAGTTTCCAAATTGCTATGACATAGCTCAAAAGGATAAGTGAAAATGCACCCAGGTTTCCTTCGAAAATACTGCTAAATAATAACTTTACTTAAATCTAAATTTAATTGTCAGTTGTACAGCACGTTTCACATTTCCTCCGATACACGTTTTTATTTTACTTTAAAATATAAAAAAACCTACAATGTGATATGACTGCTCACAGGCTTTCCAACAGTTCATGAATAATGGACTTCAATTTGTTACAAATCGTACTCTATTTCATAACTTTAGCATGATCATTTGCATTAAAGTACTAAAATAGGTGCATTCCTAAATCATAGTCAATATTTGACCTAGCAAGAGGACTGCACCAGTTTTGATTAAATGTATTGATCTTTTTTTCAGAATTTCACCCCAGGGTACAATATGGAATAGCAAGACCCAGAACACCACAGTGCTGCTTTGTAACCCTTTGATATATCACTGGCTCACAACCAGACGACATGCCAGCTTTATTATCATTACTACAGCCAATAAACAACAGAAGTAAGAACAAATTCAACGTAAACACGTATCTGTTATTATCCTGGATCAACAAATAGCCCATATATGGTGTTGCTGCTATGTGTTATGCAATTTTCAAAATTAATGATAAGGGAACCATGTTAAATTATTTCACCCATTTAAAACTATTTTGTAATACTAACCAAACATGTTTTAATTGCATTACATAATAATACAGAAATACATGAAAGAAACATTTAGAACAATTTTGGCCAATCCACTACGCTGGATGAAGAATTCCTCAAACCGTGCCGGTCATGCGGAGTTTTGTGTCCACAATTCGTTACCCTGATGCTACCACGGTGCTTGCTGCTCAATGCCGGTGGCTGAAGATGGGGCACAGGATACGGGGGTCATTTATCACTCGCCACTGATGCTAGGCGTGGCCGAGAATCAAACTCAGGTCGCCGGGTTCATGGGCACGGTGTTATTAATCATCGCGCCACCGTCAACACCTCGCGGCAAAAAATATGAGGGATCTAAAAATAACCCGAACATGTGATGAAAACGTTCTTTCGCCCGGCCTTATATTACCGATTCATTCACGTGTCCATCGTTTAACCGGTACAGGTGTGCCCCGTTTTAAATGTATTTCCACTCTTTGATGCAGACTTTGGCAAAAAAAAACTGTCATGAACATAAGGACAATTATTTATCTACATTTTTATCAATTTAGGTGCGGAGCTACACTGTGGGTCGCAGAGGGCCAGTGCGAAAAAGAAATCCATTGTTGGATTGTACTCGTATGTTCCCACGTCTGTGCTTCCTGCCTTCACAAACCCACTTTGACCAGCGCGGTGAAGTATGGTTAAATAACCCCATCGATCTGCACGGCTTGGTGAGACCCTCATCCAGCAGCGGATTGAAAAAAGTACTGTTACATGCACTTAAACAAATAATCATTTAAATGTGCGTCCCTCGGCAATGTCACCATCTCTTTAACTTTTCCCATCGTAGTGGACGAAGCGCTTTGGTAATCACCGTGCCCAGCAAACACGTGGACTGCTGACCTCGCGAGAGCCCCCCAGCCACAAGTGTGCCGCTTCATTTGGCACAAACACGTCCATATCACGATTCACGACGGGCTGTACATGAATGTTAATAATTACACTGTATACCTACTAAATAATTCAGCGCGTTCATGCACAGGACAATGCCTGTATGCCGTGATCAGGCGACTATGGCCACTGCTATGTAAGAAGGCCATGTGACGTTGTCTCCACCAACAACATCAGGCTTTTGTGTGCAAAAAAATGCAAAACATTTTCTACTGTGCAAATGTAGAGAATATTCGTTTTTTTTTCGATGAATATGTCTATCCGGTGTGCCTTGCTCCGGGTCTGTCTTGCGAGAGACACTACGTCTAGTTGATGTATGTATTCGTTATATTAAGGGTGATGATTGACATATCGACCAATGGCTGTAGTTGTAAAGTGTTGTATGAAGGACAAGTTTGTTCACCCACGCCATTATTTATTTTTTGAATCATTAACTAATGCATTGCTCGAAAGTTAATTCAGAGAGTAATGCGATAAAACGATTGGCGCGTGGGGTTGAAAATCCCCTTTTGCGTGGAGTAAGACAAAAATACAGTAAACCAGTTTGGTGCGAACGATTCAACAAAACCATGGATGTTAAACCAAGTTACAGCAACTTATTTCTCAAAGCCTTGCACAAATCATAACACAACCTCAGCAATTTGTAACATTGTTAAAACGCGCCCGGTATCAAGTCAATTCACGTATTTTCACGCAACAACAACAACAAAAAACACACACACATTTGGGCGGGGTATATAGAACCGCGTAAGATTGCAAATGATGCGGTACTAATTGCGTGCAGCGCCAATGGACCAGCATCGGTCCCAGCAGCTCTCCATCCTCCTGGACTTGGGGCTGGTTGGTGGTGCTCGTGACGTGGTCCGTGACTGGAGTGGCGGTGGCGGTGGGGAGGGATGGTGAATGGAGGGAGACGGAGAGACGAGGTTGGGCGCTCTGCGCGCCACTCACTGCTGGCTGCTGTTGCATAAGCGCTGCAGTTGGGGGGGGGGGGGGGTTGTGCGTGCGCGCGTTTGTGTGTGCAGTCACTGCTAGCGTGGTGAAGAGTAGTGTGGCAGCAGCAGCAGCAATAGTAGTCGCGTCCCGAGCGTCGTCGATGCTGTTGCAGCGTCAGTGCCCATCTCGTGCCACTCACCGCGCAAATAGATGAATAGTTGGCTGATGCTCGGCGACACGTAACATCGTCCACGCGCGCAGGGGGGGGGGGGGGGGCGGTGGGGGGCACAGCGGGAGGGGTGGGATATCTTCCGTGCGACCACGATCACAGTTCGTGGTGCAAGGAAGCGCTGGGTGCTGCGGGAGTGAGACATCGGCGAGTGGTGGCGAAGCGCGTCTGGATAGAGAGTAGCGAAGCTTTAGCGGAGTGCGGTTGGGGGGGGGGGGGCAGCTATGCGGGCAGGGTGGTGTTGTGCGCCCTGTGCTGCTGAGCGACAGTGGCAACAGCAGAAGCAACAGCATCAGCGACGAGTGAGACGGCAGAAAGTGACAGTGCCCAAGGCGAATTTCTCACGACTGTAGCAGCAGCAGCTGCTGCTGCTGCTGCGTGCGCACAAAGGAGTAGCTGGCACCAGCAGCCAGCCATCGCCTCTACGTCCTGCGATCACAACGCCCTCCCCCCCCCCACCCAACCCACACACATCTCTCTCTCACATGGCGAGAAGAGGAGGCAGCAGCAGCGGCAGCAGCAGCAGCAGCATCGCCTTGTTGCAAGTCGCCTTCGGGACACTCGTCCTGCTCTGGGAAGGTAAGAGACGAGGCTGCGGCAGCTTGCAGGAGGAGGGGACGGGGAGACGGGCCATGCCTGCATTGATTGACAGGCGCGCGTGAGCGCACCTCCTGCAGAGGGCATGGCAGTCCTCACGCGGGAGTCCACTCAGAGTAGTGTCCCGCGTGGGGTGCACAGCTGGGGGAGAAATGCGGGCGTATGTTTTTGTAAAAACAAAATCGAGTGATGCGTTGACAGAGAACGATACATCTCTTTTTTTTTGGGGGGGGGGGGGGCTGCTTTATTGTGTGATGAAATCGCTCGGGTGTTTTGGAGACGTGGCTAGAATCCAATTAAAGTTGCGGGGTAACGTAACGAGAAGACGACCTAGAGAGACGTCCAGGTGCGTGGGGAGTGCCGAGGGGCCCGTGCGTGGAAAGTAACACTGGGAGAGACGCAACTGAAAGAGACACTGGCGGATTTTGCGGTGGGTGAGATTCCTGGAACTGAGATATGCGCAGGTCAAATGCTGGATATTTGTTTAATAAGATGAATGCCACAGGACCACCGCATTGTCACGCTGTGGCATCAGCAGAGCAACGTACAGCACTGCTCGTTAATCAATCCATTATTGCCATTTGAACTTGACCCCTTGAGATGAGTGTATGCCCCCACATATATAACAACAACAACAACCACATATATAGCCATCCTTTACACATGCATGCGAGCCGTTTGTGCACAATTGTGATGGAATGGATGAGTGCCAGCCAGAAAACGTGTTTTGGTTGGCAAGCAGCGGTGATTACAGTTCGGCTTTTTCTCCTTCGTACCCCAAGGCCCGCTATCTTGTCCGTCCGTGCTTGAACCATGTGAGAAAATTGCGCTCTTGTTAAATCCGCACTGTGCTTATCCCCAGCATATAAACATTCCGCAAAAAGGGGCGAGCAAAGCAGCCCTCCTGCTCACGATAAGGAGGTTGGCAACGGGTCCCACACATTCCGCTCCTCTGTGCGGCCGGGAAACAGGCTACCTATTGAAAATGCGTACAATGTGTCAATGTTTCACGGTGTGCTTTGTTACGTAACACCGCTATATTCATTACACACACACACGACGATCTACAGTATGGGCCTCTGTGCAGAATGTTATTGTGGCGTGCAACAACCGCCATTTCCACCTCGCTCCACTACCCCAAAACCCTCCCCATTGAATCGTGTTATGTAACCAGCGCGTGGGAAAAAGACATCGTTCACACCGGGCGAATTTAGGAGAGGCAACTGTGATGACGGTGCCCGAAAAACGCAATAAAATAAACCCAGCTCGATTTAAGTCGCGGGGTGGATTTTTCCTTTTTTTCTCTCTCTCTGTGTGCGTGTGTGGCTGTGTGGAAGGGGAGCGTGCGGTGCAGGCGCGGCAAATATCCCGGGTTTGGTGCGAACCCCTCACGCCACCACCACCGCCACCGCCTTTTGTTATTATTGTACCAGATTTGAGACCGATTTTTGTTTTTTAAGCGAACACCAGGACTTGCGGAGCTGTGGCCAAACGGCTGCATTGTCTAAGGCACGCGTCCTCCACAGAAGGTCAAGTTCAACTCCCGATTACAGTACTGCGCGACAGGGAGATTAATGCGCCACTTTGCAAGGGGACCATAGACATTTTCTTGAGTATTCATCAAATGCGAACGAAATTGAGGGTGCATTGGCGGTGGAACGCACGCACAAATAAAATAAGCACCACCTTCGTCATCCTTCACTGCCTTGTAACAGACATGCGGGACTGTATATGGTAAGGCGAACGTTGCGATCAATTAAGTGCCTTGCTTTACGTAACAATGGGCTTATCTACACAGTGACATTCCTCTGCTGCTCCCGGTCCAAGTATCCCATTAAAGCATTCCCATAATCCCAGTGCGCGACTTCATTTATCTCAGTTTTTCCATGCTTAGTGTGGATCTAATACTCCAATTCCTCCCAAGATGTCCGACCAGTGTGGAAGATTAGGCCAAAGCACCGTCTATGGGGGCTCTCCTGAGGTCCCTCTAGAGGGGCGATTCCACCAGCAGTTTTGCACCTTTATATATTTTGTTGTTGTGAGTGTTTGGATACTCATTGTATGTTATTTGAAACCTAATCACGCGCGTGTTCCACGTGTTCACGTAATGAAGGTGCCACCGATTAATGTGCATTCTCTGGCTATACGTCAATCTCTCTGTCGTCTCCGTATCAGAAAGAAGGGCCAATGCCTCAAACGTAAATCCATTATACGAGGATATTTAATTAATACAAAAAATGGCTAATGTTATTCTACATCATCGCGTTTTTTTTTTTCCAGTGGCCCACAAGCAACTTGATGCCAACAGAATAGGAGCCGTTGAGTTGGTCCTTAAGCCATGAGCACAGCGCTGCTTTCACAGCCTCGAACCATGTTCAACGTGGATATTCTTTTAAAGTTCAGAACAGATAGAAGTCCAAAGTCTGGCCCCGATGTAGGATGTTCCAGAACGTGCCATCCAAGCTCTCCCAACAATTGTTTTGTCGCGCGTGCAGTGTGTGGGTGTTCGGGATCGTGCTGAAACATCTCTCCCTTTTTTTTTTTACCAGTCTGCAGCAATTACGGTGAATATTAATCAGGCTTCATCTAAACATCTACGTTTACATTTAAAAAAAAATGTCGGCTGGAGTTACAGCATCGACTCATCTACCACTTCTGCTGTCATCATAAACGTGCTCATGCACTGATTGCAGCGTTTCCATCAATTTGTAAACATTACCACCATTCATTCAGCTGTCACCGTACTGCCGCTTTTTTGTTTAATACATCTCACTCTCAGAGAACAAAAGTGAATAACAGCACACTACTCTTGTTGTGCAATTGTGCAAGGGCACTGCCATCTTTGATTACGTGATGTCTGCCAATCTAAAAAAAAGTTTCACATTAATGCTAGGATCATGCATCTTTCATTACGCAATTATTACCCAAATCACACGTATACAGGTTATATGTGCATATTTGTCTGGTTATTGCCTCTTCCTGCAATTCATTCCAATTGTGCTATTAGCGTCATGTCATGAGATGAAGACTGTCATTGGAAATATCATTGAGTAGTGAACCGAGTTCATCAGGTAATAGCTAATGGAAGTACCTCTGAAAACTCCTTCAAATAGCCTTTTAACCCTTTTACACGTTGGCGGGCACACTTTTCCGCAGGCTGTGCATTGAGATGACAGTGTTTGATTTCGTCAAATAAAGGTGCAAAATAAAATTTAGTATGATGAGTTGTTTTCTAGTCATCGGTGACCAGGTTGAGACCAACTACTCGCTCCACTCGAGAATCCGGTTTAATCATGGGCAGCTGAAACCTGGATTCCAGCACAGTATCTTAGTGGTTTCCAGCTCAGTGCTCTGACCTCTGAACCACCTGGCCACCTCCTGATTACAAAACTATTAAGAATATATTATACTTATTGATACACCCTGGTACATATTTATTTTATAAGGCGGTAGTAATTATGAACATAGCGAGTATTTATTTTCCTTGTCCACTTAAGCAACTGCTAATACGTGCATTGCAGCTGATATAAAAACTCCAGCCCAGTGGCAAAGCAGCCCAAGGAATTTATATTGTATTGGTTCGCACCATCGGCCAATATTAGCAGGGTGTTGAGGAAAGATCAATATCATCAAACACAAGAGCCACAGGCAATGAAGTGTCCTAACCACCAGTCATCTCCGGTTTATATCGGTGCCTCTTTATTTATCAAGGTGACAACCAATTAAGTAAGATACAACATATTATTTCCAAGAGAGGCCAATTAAACAACTGGAAGTTGTTATTGAGTCTGAATTAAGTTTCAAAGCACTGTTGATTGTGCTACGTGTTAGTTACAGTGTCTACGCTGTAATAATTGTGCAATTTCCACTTATAGCCCAGAGCTGTAAACAGGAGATGTGAAATTTAGTTTTGTGTTTGTTTTAAAAAGTATAATTTAAACGTTGATATTGGTCTGCAATGTTGCACTATTGTAACAGACGTTATTGCTCTTCGACATCCGCTTTACAGAAGGATGATGTGTTCGAGTAACACGTCTCAGTTTAAATGGTAAACTCCATGTAACTTGACTCTTTGACAAGCAGGTAAAATGCTAAGTAACCCTGGATGTAGGAATCAGTAAACGTTTCAATGTCCTTCATGGCTTGTACTCTTCCATCATTTGTCCATTATGTTGTTAATAGTTGCAACAACGTCAAAAAATAAAGTAGCACCAATTCTTAATGTGTATTTCTGGCGATTCCACGAGATATCATCATTCGACTAGGAAGTACTCAAGCAAGGCAGAATAATGTGGCAGTTGTGTGGTCTATTAAAACATTGGTGGGGTGGTGGCCTTTGTGATAGGCGAAAATTTTTTTTCACAGCAAATTCAAGACATTGGCCCAGAAACGCAAAGAATTCAGGATTTGGGGTGGATTGAGGCATCATAGAATCAGGACAGATCATGTTTACGTCACGAAAATAAACGTTCATTCTTGGGTTATTACAGCATAACTTATGTTCATGCAATATATATCAATGGTAATATATTGGTTGGATATGTTTTGTGCCAGAGACTCTCAAGCACAAGAAATGTAGAGATTTCAGCAGGTATATTCTAATATATGCTCCATAGGTTCTTAAAAAGCATGCGATAATTTACCTGACAAAAAAATCTACCCACCAACGCTTTAGGTGAGCCAGAACCACTGTTCTGCCTTTTGCACATCAGTATAATCTGCACTCAACATTTCCGATGAAAAGGGACTATTTTGTTTTTCTCTCGTTGACTTTAAAGATGACCTGCCCTTTTTTTAAAAATATATAAAAGGCAGGTAACATGCTTCCCAAGGGAACAATGCAGTGATGCAGCCCCAGTCATTAATACCACCTTTCACAGTGATGCCCCGATTAACGTACTTTCGCTAGAGCGTACTCAACTTATTGCTACCCAATCCCGTTTACGCACTGTGGTACCTCGCCATAACGTACTCGAGATTTA